GAGATTGAAAGCCTAATATCTGAAAGTATCTTTGAACTAGACCTACAAATTCAGTGTTTTGCGTATCACAAGCTAAGAGTCACTTTAGTCAAAACATTTAACTTTATCTGTACACTCATCCCCTCACTCAGCAAATCTTATCACTGGGGTCGTTTAACCTGGAAGAGAAAATGTGGAAACAGGCAGCACACTGTCGTCCCTCCTTGACCGTGCAGCTAGGAGTGGGTTTGACGTGCAACACACAAAATTTAAGATGGATATTAATTTTAAAATGTGATGCTAAAGGTAAATGAGCGTGGAAACTTTTCTTCCACATCTCTGAAGGTTTCTGGAATGAGGTTAATCAGTTGGAAATTGTGAAATGCAATGACTTGCTTTGTAATTCAAATATGATTTTGGCAGCTTTATCAAGCTGTATCCCTGTGACGAGGCAGACCTCATCATGAGCAAAATGTAAGCTTCAAGAGCTGCCTGGAATCTAGCATTTAAAGAGCCATGGACTTTCTAGAGCTGGAAAGAAATGAGAGTGACTGTTGTGTCAGGGGAGAGACAAGAGAATGAGTCCCTGAACACCTGTACTATAAAATAATCAGGGCAATAGACCCGGAAAGTTTGAAGTTGTTCCTTGGCAGGAGGGGTCAGTAACTCCCTGTCACCTTGTGACAGGCCACCTGCTCAGTGGTCAGGTGGCAGCACCATGGCAGGAGACCAGGGAGACTTTGTTGTGTTGCTGCTCAGCACGTGGAGTCACATCCTGTGGCAGGGATGCTCGCATGGTCTTCACATGGGGACCCTCTCCCACATGAAGGTCCAGGGCTTTTAGCTAAAAGCATTTGAAGCATGAGCCTTTCCAAAATCAGAGTTCCTTGCAATGGTGTGAATCCAGCAGGGTGAGAAACATCCTGTGAGGGGGGATCACCCCCACCAGTCTGGTGAGGCTTTCCCTGCCACTCAGTTTGGGCACTGGTGTGAGGTACAAGCAAGGTTCAAGCTTTGCAGGGAGGGTGTGTTTCTTTCAGAGCACCCTTCTCATTTCTCCCTCCAGAGGAACCTCTGGTGCTTCAGAAGAAGATGGAGAGATCGATGTCACAAAAGGAGAAAATTTCCTTTCCAGTCTTGCCAGTGACAGACAACCTGGAAACACAGGCCGGTCGGTTGGTGTCATTAATGCAAAGCAGGTACCCTGTTCTCCAGTGATGCTTGGGAGTTGGGGACATTTAGAGGCAGGGCACTTCAGGCTCCTGTGTTTGCCATAGCAGTAGGCAGCTGCCTTCAAGAACCTGGACCGCTTACTGGTCCTCTCACTGTGGGCAAGCCATATTTTACCATTGCCTTCACATAGCACAGAGTCTACTCTTGGAGGAGAGGCGCTCTCCTCCATTCCCCTCCCTCCGAGCCAGCCAGACACAGCAAGGATGTCCTGGAAAGGGACTTTGGAGCTATTCCCTGCCCCGCAGTGGATCCAGCCAGTTACTGCAAACAGCGCCTGGTGGCCAAGTCAGGCTGAAGAGGAGCATCCGGATGCCCCTTCCCTCCTTCACCCCAAAGGCCAGGCTCATTCCTAAAGCCCATCTGAAGAGTAAAACAAGTTCTTCAAACTACAGATACAAAAGACAAACAAGTTTCTTATTTTTTATAAGAATTGTTTAATAGCAGCGAAAGGCCTAAAGAAATGCCAAGACATCAGTGTGGTTGCCAGTACCATTCAAGAATTAGCAGCGTGCAAATTTCACATGCATGCACTGTTTCCAAGGAGTGCACACATGGACAGGTAAATATTTCAGTATAGCTTTATGCAATGATTATTTAAAAAAAAAATTGGGATATCTAAGTTTGTTAGAACTAAACAAAAATAACAAAAGTAGTTTGTATTTTTACTAAACACAAAGCCAATCTTAAGCTGGTTTAAATTCAGAAAATGTTAAGGCCAGATAGACTTTAAACAATACTAAAAAACATTATTTTGTTCTGTGATAATGAAGTGAGAATTTCACTGAATTCAGGTCTTCTGGGAGACCTGGCAGCATATCTTTTAAGGGAATAAAAAAGATACCTTGCTCTGATCTAGCAAAAGGTAGCAGGACATGGTGCACAGCACCCTGGATAAGTCTCCGTTTATTTTTCAGTGTTTCATTTGCAACTGAAATGGTGTCTGTGGGGGTGCACTCTAAGACACGCATACCTGAAAGCCACCAAAATATGAAAAATTCACATTCAAGTGATATTTAGCTTGCAGTTTTCAACAAACAACACTGCCCCAAGCAGAAATTGTGTGTCATTTTAACACAAGTAATAGTGATGTTTGGCAATTTATAGATATAGTAAACTATGCTTCATGCAAAAAGAGGCATTGTCATGCTAAATGAATCAGGCACCTGCGGGAGCAGAGTGCTGAAAATTTTAAGCTTATTTTTGAGTACCTTTATAACAATGCAAATAAAGCAATTTAGACTATAATGGCTGGCGTGATATACAGAAACAACAAGTGATATCCCATGCAACAGAAATGCCTGTGTTCCCTATTGCACACGATACTCTGGTAGATTCCTCAGAAGATTCTTTTGTTACTTCAGGACTGCACCATCTGGTTACTTTCACTCCTGTAAAAAAAATAAACGTATGTTAAATCATTACTTGAGATACAGTCGCAGCTACACAATTGTAGACCTGAAGTGTCTAGGCAATAGAAAGAGGAGAAGGAGGCACAGGGCCAAAACTAATATATAGGTCTGAGGTCTTAAAGTCAATAAGCATCAAACTTTCCCAGCTGGAGACTGGTCGAGGGATGAATCTGATGGATGAATGCAGACAAGGGAATGGATGGATGTAGAAATAGAAGAGAGAGATGTCTAGAAAGAAGAAAAAAGTTAAATTTGTATGTGGATAAGGAAAAGTAAATAGACTTGAGGGGTGGGCGAAAACAATGATATGGCCAAAAGAGTGGAGGGATTTTTACTGTTGGTAGACAAAAGGTGTATGGATATACTGCATAAACAGTTATTACAGAGAGAAGGAACATTCATAGCTAATGAACTGATCCAGATGTTTTCTGTCAGAGGCCTTACCACCCCCCATGCATACTCACTTTTTTTTCCACATAAGCATCGTCATCAGCACATTAAAAATTATTCCTTTCATTAAAATTATTTTCAGGCCCAGCTGTGATAAAGACAGCATGTTCAGGTTTTCATCTGTAAAAGTAACAGAGAATGAAAGTCACAAGAGCACTGAGACATCCTCGCTTCCAGACAGACTTAAAAGCACTTCTTAATGAAGCTGTTCCACTTTGTGTGATGAGTCAGCTAGTAGGATAGCTAATGAGATAGTGAGCAGGACTGTCTCGCTGAGAGACTTTCCTTTCTTCCAGTTGGTGTTTCAAGGGCCAGGATTTCATTCAATAACCACTTAATTATCCAATATGCAAGTCTGCCAACCATCTAGCTGTTTTTGAATACAGTGTATTATGAACCCAGGATGCTGGAGGTGTCCCTCCTTCCTCTCCCTAAAATTTTTTAAGATGGGCAGGGGGAAAAACAAGTTAAATTTTAGTCAAAGAAGACAAAGTCTATTTGGATTTTCTATTAATCTCAAGTTACAAAGCCATTTTCATTTGAAAATATTGATCTATATTGGGGAAGAAGGGAGCTGTCATCAGAAAGTCATTTTATGTTTATCTTTGAAAACCCCTCTCTGAAATGACTGATCAAATCAGCCAAGTTTACTGATGAGTATTTTTCTGAAGTGGTGTTTTGGAAACATTTGGCTAACTGGTTTCTTTTCAGCAAGGCTGCATGTTTGCAAAAGTACAGCTATTCTGCAAACAGGGCAAGTGCAGAGGCAGGCTCAGCTCCTTTGAACTAGCAGGAACAGCAGTTGCTTGGGCTCCAGCACTGGCTAGTATACTCCCACAGCCACGAGCTGAAGCAAAGCTTGCTCAGATGCACCGTATCTTTAGTGCAACCCTGCTTCTGAGCACACACTGCAGAAACTACCTGCTTATCTTTTGAGACATTAGGTGTTTGTGTACCCAAAAATAAAAACAACTCTTTTGAAGTCTGAAATGCAGACATCCAGTAAGGCTGACTCATATCAGTACCTTAAATCATTATGTGATGGGGAGTAGTTGTTTGGCTAGTCCTAGCAATAGCATGTAGGCATTGGCTACACCGGTCACATAAAATTACCAGCTCAGATCTGGAAGACTACATTAACCCAATGACTTCCAGCCTTGATATTTAAAGCTTGTGGGGCCCTTTTGGAAATTTCCAGTCTGAGCTTTTTGCTCCAACAGGAATTCTGCAAACAGGGAACGTTAGCAAAAGCTTGGGAAGACATTTCGTTTAATCAGGCCAAGCTTTACTCCTAAAATGCTGTGTACATACCTGTCCTGAAGTGTAGAGACAAGCTTGTAACACAGACAGTGCTGGCACCTGCAGACAGTAACAATAAATTTAATTAGTAACAGAAATGTACTTCTTCAGAAGTTCATAAAGATATCTCTACTTAGAAGGGCTGGATTAGAGTTTCTGGCCAGTAAACCCTCCCATAAATACTCATTTCTGCTATTTTCAGGGCAAGCATAAAATATAATCTAATTAAACTTTAGTGTGCCATCGGACAAAGGAATTTCAAGCTTTATATCCCCATAGTGTAATTTTAAGATCTCTCTGCTGTGACTGTACCAGTCTACTGACCCTTAATCTTGGTTCCACCAAGGAGGAAGGCAAAAGAAAACAGAGGCAGCAAAGCAACAGTCCTCTGGAGTGTGGGAGCATAATTTAGCATTGCTTGCAGGGTTAGGAGATGTGAACAAGTTGCTTATACTAATAGCACAGAGACCAGAGTACCTCTATCCCTGTACACACATCCAACAGTGCTATTACCACTTTCAGGATCCTCGCCCCGCAGTTCTCCAAAGCCCTCGTGATTTGCACCACACTGCATTTTATCCTTCTTGGCCCAGTAGGTTGACAGGTAGCTCACTTCCTGTTTGTTCTCGGATGTTGCCACCTCCACAACAGCATTTGTCCGCTTATAAGCTGAGTTAAGAGTAAGATTTTCAGGGGAGTAATCTGTGATAAGGCATATTTCCAAATCCTCATCATCCTTAGAGATCAGCCTGTAAACTGAAGGAGATGGAGTAACATCTGAAAATGGAGAAGTGAAGAGACATTAGATGAGAATACATAGTCATAGTTCCTTCAATCTTAACATACAGGCACTTAGGAATAGCGGTTTTTCCATGATTCCAGTGGGAAGTTGCCTGGTCATAGGGATCTTGTGCTAGGACACCTTTAGAGAACCAAGGCATCCACAGCAGATGATGCAGGAGCTACATGGGACTTATGTTGACTTATATTGACTTATGTTGCATGGGAGACACAGAGGCAGGATCCCTAGAGCATCTCAAATGATATTCATGTGGGCATCCACACCCTAGATGTCCATATCTAACCTAGTCATTCCTCTCTGTAACAACTCACGCAACTCTACTCTGCAGCCTGGGCTTCCTTTTGGATCTTGGCCTGGATGCATTCAGGAATGTGTGTAACAGGCGGAGAGAGCACTCTCTTCTTGCTTCACTGCTATGAGATGTAATGTGTCTGGAGAGAACTGAGCAGCTCAAGGGCATTCTGCCTTTTCTGGCAGTCAAATCCACCACTGACATTCAGAATCCCACTTCCTCCACCTGTCCTGAGGGACAGTGGATAAACTACCAAGTCTTAAGGGTGTCCACGTTTACCGCCAGTTTAGCTAATTGTGTTCCTACAAGAGACAGCTAGGAAAGCCACTGCAAAGTAGGAACACATGGTTGCATTTAGGGAAAAAAAGATGAAACAAAGAAATGTTTCATTATGTTCATTGCACCTCACAGTGCAATGCAAGATTTTTTTACTAAATTTTACCCTGCAGAAGAGGGGGTTTGGGGAACTAAAGGCTGCAGATATGACACCTGGGGTTTATTTCTGTTTTCTTGCTTCAAATTCTGCTAGCAAGTCAGTTAGACTAGGATTTTCCACACATATCAAAACACTACCTGTGGTTAAACTCTTTTTTACACATTTAGCTTTGTAAACTTGTACGCTAAGCATACATTTCATCTTGTCCAGCTCTTGAAGTCTGATTCTTTGAGAAGGTGCTTTCCTAAATCTTTGTTCATGCGTAACAGTAAAATGTTATGGGCATTGCAGTACTCTAATGATGAACAGATGAAGTATCATTAAAGACATACTGTAGCCAAGATGCAGCTTTGGGGCTCTCAGCAACCCTCTGGCTGCATTTTCCAGTGGACTTCACAATCACAGGTTTGAACCAGAGCTTCAGTTCACATTTCTAAACTCACAAAGTGTTATCATGTAGGGTTGAGAGTTTAGATTAATATTTGCTTCATCCCTGTTCACACACCACACTGATAAATATTATAGAAATACTAAAGACAGCTTAGCTCCCAGATTAAGAAGTTTTAATTTCTTCCCATGGGGGAAGTTTGGACTAAAACTTGGCTTTTAGAAACTGTCTCAAAATCTTATGCAAGTGCAGACCCTAGTTCTATCACTGAGATAAATGCTTTTCATCTGTTCAGTTGCCAGTTGTCAGCACCTTAGAGAAATAGCAATACTTCTTTATTAGTATGATCTCAGAAAAAAACTAATCCACAAAGCCTAATGATTCATTCTCTGGCCCTTCTCCTGAATTGCAGTTCATCTATCCCAGCTTTTCCCTGGCTTTGAAAAACCTGATGAGGCTGTCTCTTTCCCAGCTACACAGAATACGGTCTAATGTATGTTCTGACTTGCTCAACCCCACTCCCTACCTCCCATATTCCCGTTATTGTTTTGGAAATAGATTTCAGTGACCGTTTGTTAGGGAGAGGAAGACAGGAGGAGATAAAAAGCTTGATGGTAGATTCCTGTATAAAATACAGATGAACCAGAGTACATCATTGTCATGGAGTACATGGATACGAAAGAGGAGGAATTGATCAAGCTGTTCTGCTTCTCTCTCATAATGAGTACTATGCTTTCTGAAGAGCTACATAGCCACTTCTCTCCAAATTAGGGTGTTTTTCTCCCTTTCAATCTGTGCAATGCTTTTACCTTGAGCAGATAAAAAAATAAAGTCTGTTTTTTGCAGGCAGCTTCAGCAGCACCTGTTTTGCAAAATACTCATTTCTCATTCTTGCTCAGAGTGGCTGCTGGCTTTTTCTGATAAGTTGCTTTGCATATTTGCACACTGTTATGAAAGTTTGCAGATAGCAGTCTTGGTAAATATCAGCTATTATAACCACTGTGACCTCTTTCCTGTTATTCTGTCTTAATGAGTTGGCGGATGTGTTGGAGATGCTGTATTGATATTTATGACCTGTATTTGCAGGAAAGACTGAGAAGTAAATCATGATACTCTGAGCTGTCCACCCTGCCTAATTTCATCTTTACTGAAGGATATCTTCCAGGTGGAAGAACAGGAGCTGTTGGAATGCTATTCCTGACCCGTCTACAGAGAAAACCAACTCCAGAGGCTGATTTCAGGGAGAGAGCAGTAGAAGGCTGTTCCAACATCAGACTGAGACCCATGCCTTTTTTTCCAAACAAGCTGCAATAGAAATCCTGAACTGGTTTAACACACAGCTTGTATTATACAGAGATTTATCTCATTCTCCATTCCCTCCAAAGCAAACTCTGAATCTCTGATCAGGTTGGAATTGGTGTGATAGAGGTCTGTGATCCTCTTACCATTCCTCAACCTGGAGCTCTCATCCAACTCAGAGGAAATATATACCCCCTCACAAACTCATACAGGCTAATCGTGACCCCAGAGGAGCAACTCCAGTGACTTAGCAAGCACTTTAGTGATGTTTTCTGGCTGTCCTCCAATGAAGATTCAAAAAGGTCTACCAGAGGTCCTTTGTGAAATCTGCCAGCCCTGCATAGATGCTAGGATGTCTACAGCAAGACTAGATGTCCACATTTAGTACCTGAACTCTTCTCTAGACTTCCAGTGCTCGTGTCTGGAGTCATTCAGGTAAAAGAAGCCAGGTCCTAGTCCGGCATCAGCCAAGTCATCCAAAGTACAAAGACTCTGTGCACAGATTCAGTATTTGCAAATGTGAATATACTGCTTCACTTACAGGGTTCAGCCATAATTCTGGTCTCCATCCCAAAAATATGTTTGTCATTGCCTCTGTAATTACAATTGGGGAAGTCAAACTACCAAAACCATCCAAGATCTTTCTCGCAAACCTTTAAAGGGGAAGATTTCTATCTGAACCAAAACTGAAGCTGAATTAATAGAGGAAGATACCCAGTATGTGAGGAGAAATCAAGTGTTCAGTGGACTAAATAGTTCTCTAGTACCAAACCAGGATAAATCCTGGGCTTACAGCATGTGTTCACATTAAGGAAAAGTTGAGATGAAGTTTTCTTAAATTTCATGTTGGGAAGCAATACCCTATTTGTGTTCATGTATAGATTTATTCATGCATCACCTAAACTGCGGGAGAGATTTACTATGATCTCCTCTGCTGCTCCTTTCAGCAATGTTAAGGAAGGATTTTTGGGGGTCAAAAGGAGCAATTCTGCTTATCTAATTCACTCTTTAAAGCTCACAGGTGAATGAGATGGCTTAACCCATCTGCGTAACAATTGTCTGGAAACAGAAGGACTCGAAGTGGCTGCTCGTGAACCTCCTGAGAACATCTGTCATTTTCACAAAATACATTTGCATGCTTTTTCTTCCAAAATCAGAGTGGGTTTTAATTGCCAGAACAAGTTTTCAATTTTATGTGCTAGAGATTTAGTTTCTAGAAAAAAATTCATAGAATCATAGAATGGTTTGGGTTTGAAGGGACCTTTAAGGTCATCTAGTCCAACCCTCAATTCACATAATTTCAACTCAAAAAAGGAAACTTTCTGAATTAGAGATTAACTATTTATGTAGCACCAGCCAAAAAAATCGCATTTGTTTAATGAGTAAGAAAAAAAAACATTCAAAAGAATCAACCTAAAACCCCTTTCTAAAAACAAGTGGAAGATCATTTTTACATTGATATCAAAAAGTCAGAAGAACTTTTGATCTTACACTTGTGGAATTGCCTCAGATGTAGATGTCTATTTCACACCAAAATTATATCCTTTCCTGATCAGTCTATTTAATGGGTACATTTAATTAGATAACTTATTTGGGATCATAGCGTTGTGCCATTTCCAAAAATTACTCTCCTAGCTCCAGTGTCCCATGCACCCCAGTCTGAGTCGTTGCAAATACTGTAGTCTAAGTCACCTGGGAAATTTCTTCACAATGCAGTGTGAAACGAAGACTTAAACATGAACCCAGAGGTATCTCTGAACCTTTTTTCCCTCAATCTAAGGCAAAACACTATTACTGTTTGACAGGACTCTGAAGTTAACGATATGCCAGTATCATTACCCTAAGACATGGATGATGCTGCCTCATTTCCCACTACTCCCAGTCTCCCTGTTCCATCTTCACAAGCATCCTGTTGAGAAATAATCCTGTGTTCATTTTCTTTCAGCCTTCACTCTCTCCATCTAGAGTTTATCTTCATTCTCCATAAAGGTAGACTACTCAGAAACACTAACCAGTGGACACTGCTCCCGCCTTCATACCTTCATAGCCTGTCCTTCTCCAAATCTTGCTCACCTGGGTTGACTTTAAATCTAGTCCCTCTTCCAAACACAGCTTTACTGTATCTTTCAGTTTCCCACTCAAAGAGAAGCCTTTGCAATAAATTCCTGCCTACCAGCTGCGTATTCCAATGGCTCCTCATCCAAAATATGTGGGAAACCTGTCTACCAGAGGATGACACACAAAGATATTTGAAATTTCATTCCATCTTTTCAGGTTTCTAAAGCATTTTAAAATATAACTGAGGAAAGGAAAGAGAGTTACCATGCATCACAAGAAGTTTGGTACCCCTTCCAAATACAGTTTTTCTAGTTCCTGGCTGCTCACACTGTAACATCAGTTTTCACAAATATGGAAGGGGACTTTACTTTTGGATTTTAAAACCAAAAAATCATGACATATTCTCTTAGACTAAGAGTTAGAAAATCCAATCTCTAAGCCATTAGTCAGAATAACCTCCAGATATTATTTTAAAGATGCAAAAATCAAATCTGAAAACTTT